TATTGAACATGTGGATTACCTCATGCTTACTATGCCTCCAATCATTACCTCAAACTCTTTTTGGATGTACTTTCTCAAGTATACTCATTTCATTATCTCCAATCATTACCTCAAACTCTTTTTTGGATGTACTTTCTCAAGTATACTCATTTCATTATCTTTTGTCTGCATTCATTAATATTTCCAGTTCTTCACTCCATGAACCCAACTTTTGAGTTTGTTTTGTCTTTCATTCTTTGCGTGATATTAGGATTTATACTCCACACTTGCACCCACATGCCTCGTCCCCTCACATTCATGTCTCTTTTCTCGTGATTTGTAACCATTCTGCCTTTCCTTTATCGATTCCCTGTATTTGGAATCTTTTTTTACCTGCTTAGAGAGCAGACCTCTTGCCTTCTGTTTCAGTCACTAGTTTCCCATTTCTGTGTCTTTAACTGTTTTTCACCCCTCTCCTATGTTACTTCACCTCCATCTATTTTTTTGTCATGGGCAGGCCATCATGCTCCGCTGGGGTTCTCCGAATAGGTTTGTTCCCTTATCTTTGCCACCTTTGTCTATTCTTCTTCTTCTACTCTGTCCCTCCTTACTTGGTTCCTCTGCTGTTGGGACTTGTTGGGTCTAGGTGTGCTCCTGATTAAGGTACACCTTCATCCTTGTGTATGTGGTCTTCCTTGGGCTCCCTTTCATTGTCCAAAAGGTTTTGGTGGTTTTCTTGTTTCACTGGACACTCAGGCTGTTGTTGCACAGCTTTAGTCCTCGTTATTTTCCCATGTATTTTGTCTTTCTCAAACTTGTTCTTTGACTCCTGTTCCTTGACTGGTTCATTCTACTCCTTCCCTGTCCTCCCACTATCTGATGGCTGGTTCATCACTCTTCTTTTCTGTGACAATCCTGTTGAGTCAGGCCCACTGGGTACCCATCTTTTTCTCTTTGACAGTTCTTGGTCTCAGTTTTCTGCCAATAGACAGGTTTCTCATGTTTTTTCTTATGGTCTCTTTCTCCACTTGTCACTTTATGGTCCACAAGAAGACAGGAGACTAGTAACCAGTGATCGACCTATCAACTTGCAACCAATTTCTAGTCATTCTACCATTCCATTCTGAGAATTTCTTTTATTTCCAGTGATCTTTTGCAACTTTTCTGTGGGTGATCAAAGTCAATGTGTTGGGACCTTCCTGCACATCCTGATTATTCCATCCTAGAGACATTTTCTACGTTTCATCCATTGGAATAGTGTCTTCCAATTTTGTGCTTTCTTTTAACAGTGTTGGCCCATTATATATTCATATATCCAAAACCTTTCTCATGCTCATGCAATATTTGGTGAGCTAGGATGCTTACTTCAACTCTTGTTTCAATCAGGCCAAGCCTACTCTTCACCTGTGAGCCATGGAATGCCTGATCACCAAGGTTTGCACTACTTTTTGTCATTGTGCACAAGATGTTCTTTCCATTCTGGGGGGTTTGGCTTCTCTCAAGCCCTTTACTACTTTGGAGTGTGCATACATGTGCCTCCTCAAATGGATCTTGCGAGACCAGTGGATTCCTTCACGGGATCCATTGTCCTTGATTGTGAACCTCCCCTCTCCTCTACTTGAGGACTTATCATGGTAGCTAAACCATACCAATACTATACCTGGCATTTTTTTCATCCACAGACTAGATCTCCATCTCTTCCTTGGTGTTTCCTTCTTGGGTTGGAGCATATTTCTGAATGACAACATGACTTCTGGTAGGATGAGAGCTCATTCCAAATCAATGGCTTTTAACTTCTCACTGTTCTTAATTTTTTTTATTTCCTACTTCTCTCGATGGATCACTTGGTCTGTGAATTTCACAGTCATTTATCACATCAACCTTCTAGGGGGCACCCATTCCAGAACTCTTTGCTTTTGAGCATTGGACCTCCTCTTCTGGGCTCATTCCCTTTGATTCTGTTGTGTCTCTTTTATGCTGGAAGCCATAAACCTTGTTGCAGACTGCCTCTCTTAGCTGGGCTGCATTCTACCTATGTAGTGGTCTCTCCACACCCAGGTATTTTGTTTGGTTTGCTCTCAGTTGGACATCCCTCTTGCGGACACCTTTGCCACTCCTCTGAACACCAAACTTCCTCTTTTCAAGTCCTCTGTTCATCATCCTTCAGCTTTTTCTATACGCATATACTCCTTTTCAGCTCCTCTCTGGTGTCCTTCCTATGGTATTTGACACCTTGTTGAATCCTTCTGGTGGTGCCTTTTTAACCAGCTCAGTCCTGATTTACTCTGCTTCTTTGCTTAGCATCCAGGTTTCTCCTCCTTTACCCCTCTATTGCTTCAACTTCTTACATCTCTTTTTCATCATGGGATATTATCCCTCCATTTTCACATGTGGGATTTCTCCAAGCCATCACCTTTTAGGCCGACTCTCCAATAGTCTAGCCTTTTTATCACATTCCTATAGCCCTTTCACATTGTATATCTACCAGTGATATTGGTGGGTCTTTTGTTATTGGTCCATCCACTTTTCCATATTCTCAGGCCATCTTACTGTGAACCACTATTCTGCCTTTTTAAATTCACTGCTCGATCATGCTTTGTTGGTTTCCACCAATGTATGTTATCAGTTAGCATTGTCCACTATATTTTGCCTTTCCTGTTACCACAGGGTGTTTTCTTCCCATCTTCTCTCCATTTTCATCAACCTTCTTGCCTAATTCTCATGCCTAGCTGGGACCAGAATGTGGTCTTGCATGCTCTAATATGTGCCCCATCTGAGCTCTTGGCTTCTTGCTTTTTTGTAATAACTTTCTCTCAAGACTTATATCCTCTTCTATCTCACTTAGGGTCACTGTCATTTGGATGTTTATGCTGTTGAAGCTTCTTGCACCCTCTTCCTCCACACTTGTATACTCATCTGCCCAAACTGGTCTTTTCTTCCTAAAACTTCTGCTGCTAGGGAACGTAACTGTACTCTCTTCCTTCTACTTCTCACGTTTATGATAGTTCAGACCTGGATCATGTCATATGTCCTATTTGTGCTGTGTGATGTTACTTATCATGGACTTCAGCATCATCTGTTTCTACCCTGGGTCCCCTAATTTTACAGGGCCTCTCTCCTTCTAATCTTACTGGATGGGGACTATCTCACATTTCATTGCATCAAATTTGTCACCGGATTCACTCTTTTGTTTTCCATCTTTGCTGGCCCATCTAGATGAGATCCTCCAGGCAGGCATGTGGATGACTCTTCATATGTTTGTTGCTCATTATCTTCATCACTTGGCTGTTTTGTCTCTAGCAGGTTTTCATCTTCCTCCAGTCATCATTCTTCAACTGACCCATTGTCTTTGAGATGGGTAAGTATGCTTTATCATTCTTTTTCTCCCCCTTCAGTGACCGGTGTTGCTATTTAGGGTATGCTTATTTCCCAAAATTTGCATCAGGCCAGGGATAACGGAAAGAGTTCAAACCATCTGCCCTGACTCTACAAGTGCTCACTGAAAGATGGAGTATTCTTTAAGACTGCTTGAGGTATTCTTTTGAGATACAAATTTACTCAATTGTCTGATCCAGACTGAACCAATTCCATGGACTATCATGGAAAAAGCTGGCACCAGGGAAGTCACTGCCCACTTGTTTGGCTTGCACTTGCTCACTTTAAGAATAGGGTATGCAGGTGCTCCTATGGTCATGATCACATTTTACCCATCCCTGTAGCAGTTATCAATATTTTGCCTTTCCCTCCCTTTCATCTCAAATGAACAGTATACCCTGGTCAAGACAAGATATGGTCTCTGATGGATGTGCCCCTATGGAGCCTCCGTCACTGGGTGTCATACTTCTTGGGCTTTGCCTTTGAGTGCTTTTTTGAAGGGAGCTTCTAGACTTAAAATTTTGGACCAGCTCCTTCACCACTTCAGTGAAGTATGTTAACAAGTCTATATGCGAAGGCGAGTTATCGTCTTAGAAGCTGACATTTGACTAAAAATGTATTTCCAATAGAAATTTACCTCCTCTCACATTCTCACCCGTTCTTCCTATTTCCAGTTCAACTTTTTTCTTGCCTTCTCTAAGAATGAAGTTATCATGATGTGCAAGCACATGGGGAGTTACTGCATATGGCCATTGTGTCACCCTCTTATTGGTGGAAAGCTATTGCTGCATGATGATGTCATCCTACACCAGTTCAGTTCACATTAACTGTAAATTTAGGTGAAAGTTAGCTCAAGGTTAGTGGTATTAAAATCTCATAGTCAGGTGTGCAAGAAAAAATAGCATTTCTATGTCTGAAGGTATCATTTGGAAAATATTAACTTTGATCAATCTTGAGGATTTTCTTTTCAGGTTTTAAAGAGTTTATTCATCTCTTAATCTTTTTTTTTTTTTTTTACTTAAAGATTCTTATTTCTTAGTCACTTAGATTTTTTAGAATCTCTAATAGACTGGAATATTTTTTTTAATTTAGACATTCTATTTATAAAATTTAAGTATAATGATTTTCAGCAATATTAAATTAAAAACTTAATAGTTAATATTACATCCTGCTTATTTTGGATGAACAATGTTATCTTTCATAATTAGCACATATGTAGATAGCACACATGGGTATTTATGTTCACTCATGCAGCTGAGTTCTCTTTCTAACAACTTATCGGTCAGGGTGGAAGTAGGGATTATTATTTGAACTGTTTAGGAATTTGGAGGGTAAATGCCATTTAATCAATTTAACTTTTTTTACTGTTTATGTATGTATATATATATTAATGTTTTTTTTACAGTATTCATATAATTACATGTATTCTTCTATTTGATGCTAACATTAAAACATATTTTGTAATCTTTTTTTTTTTTCATATACATATATGTATTCTGACTTTAGTAATGAAATATAGGCTGTAGATTATTGATTTTTTTTATTATAATGGATACCAATTTTTTTTCCTTTCCTAAGTGATAATATAATGTGTTACAATTAAATTTTTATGGCTGTTTTTTATTAGTTTGTTTGTTTTATTGCAGGAAGCTATCATGATGTTAGAAACCTACATTAAAGATTTCCAAGCATTAATACAGTGGCTGAACCTGAGTAAAGATTTCGAAAACACACCTCCACCTAACAGGTTTGTGGATTGTTGAAAAACACATTTCTTTTTAACAAATTTGAATTTTAAAGCAAGATTTAACTGAGCAGATCTTATCAATATTACATTTCCTCCAATTGTAAGCTTGTATATTGCTGATTTAAATTCAGTTTCAGTTCAGCAGTCACAAGACTCTCAGATTCCTAATTGCTGCTCATACTCAGCTTGACTAACTGTTACAAAGTTTATGGTTGTGACAGAAACATTAGATTTTGTAACGACATGCCATTTTTTTTTTGGTTTGCCAGCAAAATACTATTTTATATGAAGTGGAGCTTATATATTCCTTTACACATCAAACACAAGTAAGTTTGTAGATGACAAATGATTAGAGGGTGACGAAGCTCAAAATGTTAAACAAGGTATTACTTTTGGCCAGCATAAATGCTTTGACAAAACTTTTAACATTATAAAAGTAAAAATTGTTGCTAGAGAAAATTCTAAAGAACTTCTGTATTAACCATTATCCTCTTAATAATGCCACAAAGAATTTTAGTTAGTTTGACTCAGAAGAAGATTATATAAGTTATGTCCCCATATATAAAATGTAGATTGCAGCATAATTGCTTGGATATGAAATCTGAATGTTTTGTACAGTCTTATTTATCTATTAGCTATGTGACAACCATTTAGACTCAAAACATGAGCAACATGTTGATATTTTCTGGATAGAAAAGACACTTTTAATTAAAAGAGAAACCCTTCTATGAGCTGAAAAATGTTGGCTGAAGATATATTACAATAAACAGTGAAGTTATTTCCTTACCGTGCTATTTATGTACTTTTTCATTAAAGAAATAAATGAGGACAGCTCTTGTCACCAACTATCCTACTTGTAAGTACATTGAAGAACGCTGTATTAATTGATTAATCAAATTTAATCAATTATTAGGGCTGTCAATTAATCAGTTAGAAAGTGCCATTAATCTCCTCCACCTACAACTTTTATATTTACATGCTTTTTAACTCTCAACCCAGGCTCGGTCAATTTGACTGAATATGTGACCTCTTTGTACTCATTCAAAGTCTTTATAGATTTGATACTACTAACTGTTAATATAGCATGTATATCTATGTTATTTTTCAGTCTTTTAGTAAACATTATAAATCTTTCACATACAAAAAAATCATATTTTTAGTGAAGTATTTTTAATAAACTAAAAAAATTTATCCTTGAATATATTGAGTCTTTGTTTTGAATGTACAAAGTGATTTTCATGTTAAGATTAAAAATACTTTATCTCAAAACTCTCAAATTTCATTTGCATAATCTCTAAAACCTCCTAAATACACTTCAAATGTTTGTTTTAAGTAAAACTTTATATTTTATTTATTTTATTTGCCCTAACCATATGCAGTAGGCCAATTTGACTGACCTCATAACCACCAAAAAAAAATCCAAAGAAATCTAAATTACTCTTTTTTTATTTCTAAAATGACTTCAAATTTAACATGAAACTACATCTGTTTATCCTAAGTAGCTATAAACTCTCAACAGTATACATCTATTTATAATTAAATTTTATTGTTTTATTACCCTTTGAACTGTGTCTAACTACTATTTGCACCATTGTAAGTTGTAAATCACCTGAGAAATGTGCAGCTCACATTGTGCTATCAAATTACCCTACCCATGAGCTACTCTGAGCTGGCCATGTGCATGCCTCATGAAATATTTTTATTTTTTACTTTACCTAATCTAATCTTAACTAACATAAAGAGATCCATATTTGTAAATTTTAGTTACTTTTATTATAAGAATAAACATGAAAAACAAGAAATAACGTACTTACCCGAGTACCTTTTTTTTTTTTTTT